AAAAAAAAAAACAAAAACACATGTACACAAGTATTCACAGCCTTTGCCATGGCACTCCAAAATTGAGCTCTGGTGCATCCTGTTCCCACTGATCATCCTTGAGAGCTTTCCACAACTTGATTAGATTCCACCTGTGGGAAATTCAGTTGATTGGACATGATTAGGAAAGGCATAAACTTGTCTATATAAGGTCCCACAGTCAACGGTGCATGTCAGAGCACAAACCAAGCCATGAAGTCCAAGGAATTGTCTGTAGACCTCTGACAGGCTTGTATCAAGTCACAGATCTGGGGAAGGGTACAGAAAAATTTCTGCAGCATTGAAGGTCCCAATGAGCACAGTGGCCTCCAATCATCGTAAATGGAAGAAGTTTGGAGCCACCAGGAATCTTCCTAGAGAGGGCCGCCTGGCCAAAATGAGCAATCGAGGGAGAAGGGCCTTAGCCAGGGAGGTATCCAAGCACCCGATGGTCACTCTGAAAAAGCTCCAGCTTTCCTCTGTGGAGAGAGGAGAACCTTCCAGAAAAACAACCATCTCTGAAGCACTCCACAAATCCACCACTCCACCAGTCAGGCCTGTATGGTAGAGGGGCCAGACAGAGGCCCGCCTAGAGTTTGCCAAAAGGCACCTGAGACTCTCAGACCATGAGAAACAAAACTCTCTGGTCTGATGAAACAAAGATTGAATTCTTTGGCCTGAATGCCAAGCATCATGCCTGGAGAAAACCAAGCACCGCTCACAACCTAGTCAATACCATTCGTACAGTGAAGCATGGTGATGGCAGCATCATGCTGTGGGGATGTTTTTTAGCAGCAGGAACTTAGACAACCAGGTTGCCACCTTGCAAGTCTCCGATGTATTGGAATCCTGGGTACTAGTTTTGGCCGCATGCTTTGTAGGCTACTATTTTAATGTTCTCATGGGCCCATTCAGGATGGTCCCCATTGTGGGTGTGCTTACCTGGACGTCCTTGGGATTGCTTGCCCACCCCTTGATGTGGCACTGCTTTGGGACATCCCTGATCCCTTGATCATGATTAAAGTGGTTCTAAAGGCTGATTTATGTTTTACCTTTTATGCATTCAGGTAAAAAAAATACTTACCTGAGCCCGGTTGTGATCTAGCGCTGTGCACGAGAGCAGCAGCTCTTCTGAGCCTCTCCCTTCTCATTTAGCTGGGAGACAGCAGTGGGAGCGATTGTCAATCATGGCCAGTGTGGAGGGAGTGGGTGACCGAGCTGAGCCATGCTCTGTGTGTGTCTTTATAGACACACACAGAAGCCTTGGGAGCGAGCACATGCGAGTACCACAGAGCATGCAGCTTGCTTGGGGGAAGTTAACAGGAGGGAGGAGCTAGGAGCACCGGTTGGGACCCAAGAAGAGGAGGATCGGGCTGCTCTGTGCAAAACCATTACACAGAGCAGGTAAGTATGACATGTGTGTTTATTTTGTAAATTGGAACCTTTGGTATCACTTTAACTACTTGCCATCCAGAGGATTTACCCCCTTCCTGACCAGGCCATTTTTTTGCATTACGGCGCTGTTACTTTAACTGACAGTTGCATGGTCATGCAATGCTGCATTCAAATAATTTTTTTTTTTTTCCCTACAAATAGCTTTCTTTTGGTGGTATTTGGTTTTTTTTTTTTTTTTTTTTTTTTTGCTATTTTGAGAGAACAATATTTCTGACTTTTTGCTATTAAACATGTCCAGTAAAAAAAATTTTAAAAGTAAAATTTCGTCATCAATTTAGGCCAAAATGTATTCTGCAACATGTCTTTGCTAAAAAAAAAAAAACCCAAATGTGTAAAGTAATTGGTTTACATGAAAGGTATGTATGTCTGGTTTTTTTTTTTTTTTTTTTTTTTTACAAATGGTGGCGACCAATGACTTATAGCTGGACTGCGGCAGGCATTCTGACGCTGGGACGAACTGACTTGGTGTCAGTGACACCAGTACAGTGATCAGTGCTAATAAAAAGCACGGTCACTGTACTAATGGCACTGGGCATGAAAGGGTTAACATCTGGGGCGATCAAAGGGTATTTCATATGTATGTTGAAACAGTCATTAACTGAAACAGAAACCACTTTGTAGGAGGCTTAAAACTGGGCGAGCAACAACCAAACTCTGCTAACATGGTGAGGTTGAGGAAAACTATTTTATGTCATACACTGAGCAAGACTGAGCAGAGCAACCAGACACAAGGTAGTTATTCTGAATTAGTCTCCCAGGCAAAGATTTCAAAGCAGATTGCGGTTTCAAGATGTGCTGTTCAAGCTCTTTTGAAGAAGCACAAAGAAACTAACGACATTGATGGTTGCAGCAGTCTGCAAAGGAAACCTAATTCAGCAAATGAGACACATCATGCTTACTTCCCTTCGACATTGTAAGATTTCCAGCAGTGCCAACAGAACTGGCATAAAGCAGTGGAAACCACATACACACATTTACTGTCTGGGGGAATTCCGACCGGAAGTGGTCTTTATGGAAGAATTGCAGCCAACAAGCTATACCTCCAATGTGGAAACGAGGCTAAGCGACTCAACTATGCATGAAAACTTAGGAACTGGGGTGCAGAAAAATGGCAGAAGGTGCTCTATAGACTGAGTCAAAATATGGAATATTTAGCCATAGCAGGAGATACTTTGTTCACTAAAAGGCAGGAAAATGGTACAAAGAATGTCTGCAGGCAACCGTGAAGCATGATGGAGGTTCCTGGCAAGTTTGGGACTGTATTTCTGCAAATGGAGTTGGAGATTTGGTCAGCATCAATGGTGTCCCCAATGTTGAGAAATACTGGCAGATACTTATCCATCATGCCATACCATCAGGGGGGCATGTGATTTGGCCCCCAAATGTATTCTGCAGCAGGACAAAGACCCCAAACATACAGCCAATGTCATTAAGAAATCTCTCTAGCGACAAGGAGTCCTGGTAGTGATCGATTAGCCCTCACTGAACCCTGATCTCGACATGTATGAAGGGTGTACTGGCCTGTATGTGTGCTGCACTGTGTATATTTACATGTAAACACATAATATAGTCTGTATTTTTTAAAATAAATATATAAACCATATAATCACCGTGCAAATGAGATATGAAAATAAAAAAACCTCTAATGCCTGAAAAAATGCATAATAAATCACTCATCTAAGTCAGTGAATGAGTGCATAGAATGTATAAGCGTGAAGCTGCCCTAATTGTGAATAATGCAACAATCTCCTCATAAACAATGATGAATAAAAGCAGCACAAAAAAATTATATAAATATATATAAATGCACTACCAGAGTGACAATATGGCACAAAATATAACACTGTAAATATACACAAATATTTAAATCATTTTGACAGAAGTCCAACTGAAAAATGAAAATAGTGAGGAGGTGCAAAGTCCTTCTTGATCCATCGAAATCACCAAGTGAACAAATAACAATAATTGAGTAAAGTGCACTCAGATATCACCACGTGCTCCAGAGGAAAACCTCCACTTCAGTAGCACTCACCAAATATTGTGGCTCCTTCAAACCTGATAGGCAATAGCGCTTATGGTGAGTGTCAATGTAATACAGATCATCAATCAACAAGCCCTTCATCAATTAGAGACTGATATGATTGTGGGATATCCTCCAAACTATTACAATGAAAGAAATTAAAGCATGCCAGGGTATCTGTATATCACATGAAGCGAACGCCTCGCCCGATCCTCCTTTGCTGCACGCGAGCGATATGCCACTTCCAGCGCTTCATTACATAATACGTTGAGCTTCCCGACCCTGATACGTTTTTTGCCACCTACCTTTTTATCAAAGGGTTGGCCCCACAGGACAACACAGCTATTTAGTGTCCCATTTAACCATCCAGAACAAGGTCACTTCTGGTCAAAAAGACTGAGTGAAATGTTCATGAGCACCATCTTGTGGCCAAAAAATATATTGCTTCTGACCATTTGAAATAAAATGTAAATATGGTGTTTGCAAGCACCATCTTGTGGCCAAAAAAACTGTAAATAAATTGTATAATTTATTTACAGTATTTATATACATACATGCCATCCTAAATAAAACCTGTAAAACTATCTGGATGAATACATTTAACAATGATCAAAGATACAAAATACAAATTTAAAAATTAAAGATAAAATAAGACTAGGAAAAGGATGACCAACTATACAGCCCAATCAAAGTGAAAATCATACATATTTCAGAATGAGATCCATGGGACTCAATCCCAATATTCTCAACCATTAAAAATCAACATGGAGCCCCTATACCTCACTAGTGAAACAATGTCAACTTCCACATTGAGACCCAAGGGATTTAAAGTTTGGAGCTGATAAATCCACTTGGTATCATGCTTGGAGAGTTCTGGAACCATATTGTAACCTCTCCATGATGGGTGGATTCTATCCAGCCCAAAAACAAACCCTCTGGATTTTTGTTGTATACCTCCTAAAATGAAGTGAAACACTGTGTGTTTACGGAAACCAATACTAATATTATGAACATGTTCAGCCAAACGTTTCTTTAGAGTGAGCTTGGTTCGACCTATATATTGCAGGCCACATGGACACCTGAAGGGCGTAATCTACATGAGTCGTGTCCACATGAAATTTCAGATATTTTATAAGACTTTCCAGTCTTATAAACTTAGTGACGTTACCCCTGATCCTAATGTTATCCTTAGCGACATGCATGAAAACCCTTCCTATCCGGGGAAAAAAGAATGTCTAGTAGTGGGATCTGTCACCTTTCTAACAACCATGTCCCCAAAATTGGGGGTGCGCCTTTAAATAAAAGTGGGTTTAGATGGTAAATGATTACCCAGAGTCCTATCCATTCACCACTTCCCGTCTGGGCCATGTATATAAACGGCCGGGCGGGAGCAGTGCAGGGGTAGGTGGCCGTTTATAAACTTCTTACCTGCTTGTGCGCACTCCCTGGGAGTGCGCAGCACCGTGATCCGGTGCCCGCTGTGTCCTCAGAACACAACGGAACACCGATCGTTGTACGGGACCTCTGTGGGATTTGTTAAAATTAGATAAGGATTTGAAGAACATAGTCCTGGACAGACCCAAATTTATATATAAAAAAGCCCCCAACATTCGTGATAAAGTAGTTAACATCTTAAACCCGCCAAATACAGATATCAATTACACTTTCTTCCAGGGAATTGGATTCTATAAATGCGGCAGATGCTATAGTTGCAAAAGAACGAAAATTAACCCTAAACGAATGTCAGAATTTCAAAACCCTAACAATGGTAAATTATATAAAATCAAACAATTTATATCTTATGATACTAAAGGAGTGGTGTGCGCTTTAAAATGTCCAAGTAACTTAATTTACATTGGCAGAACAAAAAACATTAAAAACACGTCTATAATATTAATAAAGGTTACAAATATCACAATGTACCGTTACACTTTTGCAGATTTCACAATCAACAAGCTGACAGATTAGAATTTTGGGGTATCGAGTGGCATAATAGACACTGGAGAGGGGACAGCTTAGAGAAATTAGAAAAAAAGAATCTCACTGGATATATGAAATGAATTGTTTGGCCCCCAAGGGCCTAAACAAAGAATTTGATCTGTCATGTTTCATTAGTGATTATTAAATCAACATATTAGTTTTCATCTTATCACTCTAATTATGCTAATATTTAGAGATGTATGTAATATGCCGCTTTTAGTATTGTATATATGAGAGGAATAGGCACACATATATATGCATTTATAATCTATACATTTCTATAGGTATAAAACATGTACACTCAGGAATAATTTATTTGATACCCAAATATGTGTGGAATAAAGTGTATTTATTTTAAATGGAGATAGACATAAAGATATCAAAATTCATTTTATACATTTTATGTTTAATTCATTTTATTTTTTTATTTACTTTCCTTACCCTATATATGTAATTATTCAGGTCCTCTAGAATCACATTGTATTTAGCACTTGAAATAACTGAAGAAATATAGTGTTAATACCCATTTTTTAAAATATATTTTTAAACTATATAATTATAATCTATGTATTTTTTGTAAATATATGTGACAGACCTCCCCACAGCTGTGTATTTCATACACTGTCTCTTAAGCCGTAGGGTATTCGGATATGTACACAAGATATATTGTTTATAATAATGTGGATGAATTGTATAACAAAGTGGATAAACAGTACTGACATTGATACAAATATATACAGAAATAGATTAACCCCATAAAGATGGCCGAGACATAAGGGCTACAAGAAAATGGCGCCGTATTACTATATAAGGAGTCGAGGCAGGGTGATCGTCCGATCACATCCTCCGGATGAAGCCACGTGACGCAGTGCGTTGGGGAGGGGCACTGACGTCACCGCGTACCCGACTACCTAGAACGGCGAGTACAGTGTTCCCTCGCCACTTCGCGCTTCATGTTTTGCGGCTTCAGTACTTCGCGGGTCAGCAGCCACATTGTGGAAAGGAGTGTTGTTTCATGTTGATGCGCAAAAGAGAAGGATCCCTGCATGTCAACCAAAGAGATGATTTGACTCCAAGTACTGTACATACCACGGGCTTTCATAAAGGCGCGTGATTGGTTTCCGGTGTGACATCGACCAATAAGAGTACGAGTGGATTTATCCCTGTGAGTTGATTGTCTGCGCATCATTGCAGCCTCACTTAGCATCTTCCCTTGTTGTATCTCGCCAGTCTTGTCCATGATGTTTACATATTTAAAACATTCTTGTACAGTACCCGCATACACAAAAATTCCTAGGGGCAAATACTACTTCGCGGTTTTTCAGCTTTTGCGGGAGGTTCTGGTCCCCATTAACAGCGAAAAACGAGGGATCACTGTGTATTCACAGTGTGTGCAGACACACTGAGGAGGAGGCTGATCATATCCGCGTGCAGTGGTTTACATACCAAAAGCGCTATTTTGTTTTTAACATGAGTGCAAATATGGGCACATAATTCATTTTAAAACGATAAGGCACTATACATTCTTCTTTCCCCCCTGCTCTAACGAGGAGGAATAGGGAGACGAACCAAACAGCTTGGGGAAGGAGAGACCAACACACACAAAGGTTACTAGCAGCAGTATACCCAGGAGGACAGAGGAGAGTAGTCAGCTCATCCGATCCCAGAGGATTACACCACAGCTCCCTTCAATTTAGCCATGCTAGCCTATTAATAGGCTTTTGGAAGGTGAGCGCATACTAGAGACATTGTCTAAACATATATCAAAATACAGCTTTTCCAACAGCAAGAAAAATTATTGGACACTTTTCACTTTATATATACACTTTGTTGGACACTTATTCTTTAATAATTATTATGACCTTTTATTATGATTTTCCAATTCATATTTCCATTTTTATCACTATTCATAGCTGAATTGGTATTTACAATACTATTATGTATGAAATATCTAGTTCTAGTTTATTTTTTTTATATAAGGTACGGTATATAATACTGTTTTAGTACATTATCACATTTAACATATATATAATATTGATATATATTCACCATAGGGCGCAGCACCCAATTCTAAATATAGATAATCAATTACACATGCATATGAGAATGTGAAAGGGAGCCTGCAAACCTTTTAAAATTACAATTCATATTCCTGTGGCTCACAAGTAATTTTTAATTTTTTGTTCAGTAGGCAAGATATCGCTTCTGACATCATTGCTTACTACGTGTGAAATCCTGTGAATGATCAGAGATCACATGGTACAAGGCTATTCACAACAGCCTTGTACCATGTGACAAGCTGTGACCAATCACAGCTCACATAGTATTTCTCAATGGCTGCAAGATTGCAGCCAGAGAGAAGGAGAAATTATTGCTTTTACACCCATAAAGGCTGTATAAGCAATCATTTTTTAAAAAAAAAAAAATTTCATCACCCCCACAAGTAGTGTCACTATGGTGACAGTGTACTGCTTTGGTGACAGTATGTCAAAAATATGCATTAATATAAAAATGTAAGAAAAAATTTAAAATTATTATTTATGGTTATAAACGAATTTGGGTTTTTTTTTTTTTTTTTTTTTTTTTTTTTTTTTTTTTTACTAAAAAGATAACTGAATACATTTTGTCCAAGATTTATGAAGAAAGATTATTTATTTGCAAAGTTTTATTAAACACTTTTTTTCAAAATGTTTGGACTTTCATTTATATAGCAAAAAAAATAAAAATCCCATTGGTGAATAAATACCACCAAAATAATGTTTTTTATCTGTCTCAAAAAAATGCTAAAAAATTAATATGGGTACAGTGTTGCATGACCATGCAATTGTCATTCAAAATGTGATAGCACTGTAAGCTGAAAATTGGCCTGGACAGGAAGGGGGTAAAAGTGTCCGGACTTGAAGTGGTTAATAAAACACGCTAATGTGTTTTAAAGATGTTCTCTACCTCTCTATATTGAGAATAACATTTGGAAATAAAACTCCACTGTTTATCATCTTGTGAACTCATGAGGTGATTATTGCATTATTCACTATTAGGGCAGTTGCATGCTTCTACATTCTAGTCACTAATTTATTGACTTAGGGGAGTTATTTATTATGCATTTTCTTCAGGTGTTAATGTTTTTTTTTAATTTTCACATCTCATTTGCACAGTGAATATATGGTTTATATATTGATTTTGAAAGTTTTAGATTTGGTACACTGCAGCAATGGAATTGATACATTTTTTGGATAATAGACTGATTAATTTAGATTCTATATTTTCTGTGGATTCAGACAATATTAATCTGATCATGTGGGATTGTTTAACCTCTACCTGCCCGGCCTATGGCCGAATGGCGGCTGGCAAAAACCCCTACCTTTCCGGGTGGACGCCATATGGCGCGTCCCTTCGGGCATGCGCAGTTTGCGTGCCTGCAGAGCCGCGCAGCGGCGCGAGCTGTCACCGGCCGTGTACTTCGGACACTGCCGATGACAGATCTGAGTACAGTTGTAGACAATGGATGGCTACATTCATGCCATCCATTGTATACTAGTGTGTCTAGCTGTGAATGGTCACAGCGATCACATACACAAGCTGGGCCAATCACAGCCCAGCTGTGTCATGTGATTAGCCATGGCCATATCACAGCAAAAAAAAAAACCTTGAATGAATCTATGTCATTCAGGTAAATGCTTGCTTATAGCAAAGTAATTCTTTGCTATAAGCAAATTGTGTTTAAAAAAAAAAAAAATGATCACTTCCCCAAATTGTACTACTTTGGTTGCAGTGAAATATGAAAAATTCTTAAATTAAAAATAAAATAAAAAAATAGTTTTTTTTTTCATACTGTCACCAGTCTGTGTCCCTGATCACCGCAATGCCAGTTATATGGTGACGCTGTACTGCACTGGTGACAATATGTAAAAAAAAAAAGTGAATGATTTTTTAAATTTTTTTCATTTACCGAAGAAATACAACTTCAAAAAACTCGCCATGCCTCTTATGAAGTACGTCGGACTGTCTACTTTGCAAAAAGGGGTCATTTGGAGGATATCTGTACTGTTCTGACATTCTTGGACCTCAAGAAATTAGATTGGCTGTCAGTACTTCTGGATTGATCAATATTCAGATATATCCCATAGTTTGTGAACTCTATAACTTTCCTACAAACTAAAAAATACATCCTAATTTGGGTTATTTTCACTAAAGACATGTAGTAGAATACATTTTGGCCTAAATTTTATGAACAATTATTTATTTGCAAACTTTTATAACGGAAACAAAGAAAAACGTGTGTTTTTTTTTTTTTTTTTTTTTCCCTCCCTATGAGGTGATTGTAGCTGTATTAGTGTGTGTTTGCGACAGAAACAATTGTACTGTACGTGATACTTTTTTTTTTTTTTTTTTTTTATTTGCACTAGCATACAATTTTGAGATCAAGCTTTCGGAGAGTGTCCCCTTCAAGGTCCAAGCAGTACTATACAAATTACAAAGTTTTAGCAGAAGGTTGGAAGAGAAAAAAAAAAAGAAAGTCTAGAGATAGGACACCGCAAAAGCAAAGGGTGGGGGGGGAAGACAACACTCACATCACAGAGGGAGTCAAGCTTGAGTTGATAGTCATAAAACACAAAAACTTGCCATGAATGGGAAACAAAAAAAAAAAGCTTCAGAAGCTACACCAAGAGCAGACCTTTGGGATACAACCTAAACATAAAAGCAACCCAACATCTATACCTCCTACTATCAGTGACCTGGAATCTAATCCGGAATCCCAAGGCATCCCTTGTGTAAATGCTGACCTGTCTGAAAATGTGGATATAACAAAGAAACTTGGAATCATCAACTTGTCAAATCATATACTTTCTGAACCAGAATTAACCATCCTCTCCAAAGCCTTACATTCTGCCCAACCACCAAATTTGATCACTTACAATTATTGTCAGATATGGAGGATTTCTTCAGGAGACTAAGGCTCAAAGAATATTTTCAAAATAATGAAAGGAATCCTAGGACAACGGAGTGCTACACAAAGAAAAAGAACAGCTGCTTCACACCTCCACAAGGATGCAACCCCAAACTGGACACCTATATTGATAGCTTCAGATTGCGATCTACATCCCTGATATCTACCCAGAAAAAAATTCTGTACAATCTTTCACCACTAGAGCGAAGGGCTACACTATTTGCGCAATAATCAGGCCATCGCCATCAAACCAGCGGATAAAGGGGGAGCAGTTGTTGTGATGGATACAAACAAATACATACAAGAAGGCCAGAGGCAGCTGGAAAATGCCATTTACTATAAAACTGGATTATGATCTGACCCAGGACTTTACAAAGCAATTAACCACTTCCTGTCCGGACAGGTTTACCCCCTTCTTGTCCAGGGCAATTTTCAGCTTTCAGCGCTATCACACTTTGACAATTGCGCGGTCATGCAATACTGTACCCATATGAATTTTTTACCATTTTTTTGAGAGAAAAAGCTTTATTTTGGTGGTATTTATTCACCGCTGGGATTTAATTTTTTTTTACTATGTAAATGAAAGTCCAAAAATTTTGAAAAAAAGTGTTTTTTTTTTTTGTTTTTTTTTTTATAAAATTTTGCAAATATTTCATCACAAATCTTGGCCAACATTTATTCCGTTATTTTTTTAGTAAAAAAAAAAAAAATCCAAATTAGTTTATAACCAAAAATTATAATTTTTAAACATTTTTTTTTTTTTTTTTTACATTTTTATTTTATTTTATTTTTTTTTTTTTACATACTGTCACCCTAGCAGTACAGTGTCACCATGGTGACACTGTACTACTTGTGGGGGGTGATGAAGATTTTTTTATTTTTTTTTACATATAGGATGTAAAAGCACTCATTTTCTCTTTCTCTGTCTGCATTCTTGCAGTCATTGAGAAGTACTGAGTGAGCTGTGATTGGTCACAGCTTGTCACATGGTACAAGACTGTTGTGAATAGCCTTGTACCATGTGACCTCTGTGATCATTCACAGATTTCACACGTAGTAAGCAATGATGTCACAAGTGACATCTTGCTTACTACTTTGCATGTGCTCACTGATTCGCCAATCAGTGATCACATGATCGGGACCTCGTACAGAGGTCCTGTCCGACGATCGGTGTTTCACTGTGTCCGAAGGACACAGGGGGCACCGGATCGCGGTGGTGCGCGCTCCCAGGTAGCGCGCACAGCTAGAAAAGGCGGGTGCTGTTTAGGAATGGCATCCCGCCCCTGGACTGCCACCGCCCTGCCGTTTATAAATAGGCGGACGGCAAGAGGTTAAAAGGTCTTATTAAAACACTTCCAGCCCACCTACATTCAGAACTTATAAATGAAATTCCGGATAATCCATAAATTGGGGACTTCTACATGCTGCCCAAAGTCCACAAGCCAGGAAATCCAGGCAGACCCATCATAACAGGTATGAATCCACTCACCAAACAAATCTCAGGCTTTGTAGAAAATATTTTAAAACCGTTAGTCAAGAATACTGCTAGTTTCCTGCAAGACACAACTGACTTTCTGAACAAGATCAACAACATACAGCAATTACCATCTAATACACTTCTAGTGACTATGGATGTAGTATCCCTGTATAGTAATATCCCTCACAAGGATGGATTAGCTGCATGTCACAGATCCTTATCATCCTCACCAAACCACAAATACACTGCTGAGGATGTTACACAGCTCATAGGTAATTTCTCACCTTGTAACAGCGTTAAGGCAGTGTTCCCAGGAATTGAAAGAGGTTGTAACCTCATAAAACCTAGCTCAGTGTAGGTGGCAGGATCAGATAACTTATGGTAAAATCAGTTTTTCCCCTGTTTCATATCTTGAAATATGGAAGACTTGCATAAAAACCGGGCACCTTGTCAGATGGCCAATGTGCAGACGAACATTTTTATGGGTCACTCGTCCACCTCAGATCAGGGGAGCCAAAACATAGAACTTGTACCCCGTGTAACATACAATTTCATAATTCATATCTACATGATCCTTAGACTTATCTGCATAATAAAATACCCGCGGAGAGATTGTCGCTTGTGCAGCTGGGAAGTTATAGGCCAGAATATGAATTATGAAAGATGCTGGTTCTAATTTTGGGCTCCGCCTGCCAATCCCTCCCCAAACAGAGTATTGGTCAGTTACTCAGAGCCACCCCCCTGCTGGGTGACTTTAAAAAACAGGCTAGCAGGCCTAAAAAGTTAAGTTGAAGACATCTCCTATCTTTCCATCGTAACATATGGAGATCAAATCCCGCTTCTGCTCTGCAACTTGGATCTGCTTACAAACCAAGGCGTACTGGCAAGTAACTTAACCCTTTAACTTCTTTTCTATTATGCTCTATGGTTGCTGTATATATATATGGTTCGA